ATTATGATCATAAATCCTGTTAGTATTATTTTATTTTTTGAAACTACTTAAGAATTTTTTTTAGAGTGTACTAAATTATGTGAATTTTTAAGGCCCACTTGCACTTGAAAGGAAAGTGTATTCTCTATAGTCTGGTTTCAGAGTCCCATGTGTACCTATAAAACATAATCTACAGAGACTTGTGGCAAAAAAGATGATTTATTAGGAAGGCAAGGTGGAAACCTCCTCCCATATACACCCACCAAGGAAGCAACTACCTCAAAAACAACTCACCCTGGACACGCTATGAAGACTTCCGAACAGACCATATACACCTGGTGAAGAAGAGAAGACCACAGAGAGAAGGGTGAAGTGGCAGAGCCACAACTGAGTGGGACCCAAGCCCTTCCCCCATCCCAGCCCACAAGTGGGAGGGAGAGGAGCAGAGCAGGCAGGGGATAAGCATGTGAAAACTGCACACCTGGCCCTGGAGATCTTCTCTGGGAACACAAGTCCACATTACACTGGACTTTATTGATTAACAGGACAGGACATGAGGGAGGGTTGGAGCACTCTGAGAAGCTGAAGCTACTGCCACTTGTGGAGGACAGGCATGCTCTACTGGTCCCACTGAGACCCAACACAGAGGCAGCAGTTTGAAAGATTTAACAGCAGCAGGAAGGTTACCAGAGGCTGGGGGTTGATTGGAGCTATCTTCACAGGAGAAAGGGAAGGTTGACATCACTTCTTCAGCCCTCCCTCAAACCAACTGGTTGGGCATTCATGGGAGCCCCAAACACTCTATCTGCTTTGATGGCAACTCATCCCTGAGGCATTTATCTGCTCACCAACCTGCCTGCCTTCCCAGCCCCCTGGGCCCAGCAGTTAGATTTTGCTGGCTGGCAGGTGGAAGGAGGCTTTCCCAGTTTTCCTGGCCAACTAGGGAGGCACCTGCAGGAGCCAACTCCAAATGCTCCTTCCTTTTTCTTGGCAGTCCACCCCACACTGTGGTCTCCTACCCCACCCACCCAGTCGGCCCAGCAGCACTGCCATCACTGCCAGCCCCACCCAACAATCCCAACAGAAGCACTGCTACATGTCCCACAAAGGGCCTCTGCTGACAGAGACCAACCACTGCTGGCAGACAGACAGAAAGGTGGCCCTGCCCACAGCCCACCACCAGCAACTGCACCTCAGCTATAAAAGAAAACTAGGCACAGATGAGAAAAGTGTCAAGCTTCTGGGCACCACAGGACCCCTTCTTCATAAAGCCATTATTCTCTAGACCAGAAGGCACAGCAGATTTATCTAATACAGAGGAAGAAACAGAAAAACCAGACAAAATGAGGAGGCAGAAGAATATGTTACAAACAAAAGAACAGGTAAGATACCATAAAGAGGGCTAAATAATATAGAGATACCCAATGATCTTCAGAAAAGTATTGACTATCTCAGGGAGAATGCCAAAAAAGTGATACAGGACCTGAAGAAGAGCCACTCAGAGCTGAAGAGCACAGTAACTGAAATGAAACATACAATGGAGAGAATGAATAGATTGCTGCAAGTAGAGGAGACAGCAAATGAGATGGAAATTAGAGAACAGGAAAACAGCAAAGCTGAGGAACAAAGAGAAAAAAGAATCTCTAAAAACCAGAGGATGCTGAGAGCTGTGTATGACTCCAAATGAAACAACACATGCTTAGTAGGGGTACCAGGGGGAGAAAAGAGTGAGAAAGGAGTAGAAGTTCTCTTTGAAGAAGTCATTGCTGAAAATGTCCCAAATCTGGGGAAGTAAATAGACACCTAGGTTCTGGAAGTGCAGAGAACCACTAACAAAAGGAACCCTAGTAAGATAACACAAAGACATATAATAATTAAAATAATTAAAATGACAAAGATTAAGGATAAAGAGAGGGTATTAAAAGCAGCTAGACAAGGGCAAAAGATTGCTTACATCTTATAAGTATTACTTATATACCCATAAGGCAGTCAGCAGACTTCTCAGCAGAAACTTTACAGGCCAAAAGGGACTGGCATGAAATATTTAATGTATTGAAATAGAAGGACTTTCAACCAACACCCTCTACTCAGCAAGGCTATCATTGAGAAGTGAAGAAGAGATAAGAAGTTTCCCAGATAAATAAAAGTTAAAAGAATTCACCATCACTAAATGGATCTTATAGGATATGAAGGGACTTCTATAGATGAAGTGTTCTTAAGCCTCAATATTTTCCATCACTGAAAATAAACTCATAGTAAAGATAGTAGAACAATTACTAATTAAGCAAGTATGAGGTTAAAAAAAGAAAAAAAAGGACGGGGAGCCGGAGGTTGGGCTGCAGTTGCTCCCGCATCTGCTCCTGTTCCCTGGCCCTTGAGCAACATGGCATGCGGGGCGACATTGAAGTGGCCCATGGAGTTCGAGGCGGTGCTGCTGAGCCCTGGGTCCCCTAAG